CTGCGGGGGGCCGTGCGGCACGCGGGGCGGCCACGCGACCACCGTTCTAATTCTACCTGCCCCGAGGGGCATTTGCGAGAGAAAAAAGGGATTTCGGTAAAAAAAAACCCCAAAGGATTTACTCTGCATCCAGCCCCGCCCCGGCAAATACCAAATCCCGACTTCGTTTCGGTGAATCCTTCAGGAAAGGGGTCGGAGATGGAGCAGGCGGCCGCAACCTGAAAATTCTGCTGGAAAAGGGTTTTGGGGGTTGTTTCGAGGGGAAAACGTCCCTATTTCCTTCACCCGGCGTGACTCCCCGCGCAAAGAGCCGCCCCGTTCCTAGAGCTGCTTAAAAAAAACCCTAATTGCAGCCCCAAATTCTCACACCGTGACAGACAGAGGGAAATTAACACGTTTCCCAACTGGAAAAATTCCCCTTTTTGGGAAAAAACTAACTAAAAATTCCTTAAATGGAGTATTTCAGGCATATTTTAAGAGTATTTAGGGCGGACGGGGGATGAGGGAAAGGCGACGGCTCCATCCCGCTGCTTAAAAAAAACCCTAATTGCAGCCCCAAATTCTCACACCGTGACAGACAGAGGGAAATTAACACGTTTCCCAACTGGAAAAATTCCCCTTTTTGGGAAAAAACTAACTAAAAATTCCTTAAATGGAGTATTTCAGGCATATTTTAAGAGTATTTAGGGCGGACGGGGGATGAGGGAAAGGCGACGGCTCCATCCCGACCGGGATCCAATCGATGCTTTTATTATTTTTCCAAACCTCAGCTTTTTTTTTGGCCTTTTTTTTTTTTTTCCTTTTTCTTTCTAAAATTCACCCCCGCCAAAAAAAAAAAACCCAACCAAAAAACCACCTCACCAGGCGGAGCCACGGCAGGAGGGTTTCTCGGGGAAGGTAACGGCTTCCTGCGCTCTTCCTCCTAAAACAAACAAACAAAAATACCACGATTTGCAGAAATGAAGCAAAATTAAATCTTAACGAGATGAATTAAGCGCTGGGGCTGCTCCTTAACGAAGCAGCCGGGTCCCTTCCCCTTAATTAAACCCCCAATTGACCGCTGCGCTCAAAAAGAGAATCGTAATTGATCAAAAATCACGGATTATACCATCACCTTCACGCAAATATTCACAGTTATTCCGGCTGCGGCTCCGCAGCCGCTGGGGGAGCTCTTCCTCCTCCTCTTCCTCCTCCTCCTCCTCGCTGCAGGCGGCCACAGCTGCCGCCTCGTTCCCGTTTTCCTCTTTCTCCTCCTCCTCCTCCTCTTTGCCAGCCCAACCCTCAGTTTCATTTCGGGGGGCAACTGCTGATTCTTGGGGATTTTCGGGAACCGCAGGCAACTCTTCCACGGCTTCCGAAGGCGCTGCCGTTGTTTCCGCTGAAAACCGCTGTGACTGCGGCCGCCGCTTCTGACGTCACCTCCGATGTTGCCTCCTCCGCTTCCAGCTCGTCGTCTTGCAGGAACGGGGGCATCAACAGCGGTTTGGGAGGTTGGTTTTGTTCCCCCAGATTTTTAAGAAATTCCTTAGGTTTGGAAAACTCTTCGGAAGCTTCTGCCGTTTCCGTACTTTCTCCGATTCCTCCTTCTCCTTCCTGCGGAACCTCCACGGCGGCGGTTACGGTCGCTCCTTCCCCGACGCTGTCTCCGGCTTCCAAAGTTTCCGTTTCATCCACGTCCTGATCCGTGATTTCATCCGTAAAGGGATCTTCTCCCTGCGGAAAAAAGAAGAGACGGGAGAGAGAGACGAAGAGTCATCGAGGCAAAGGGAATCTCCGCCGTGAAAACGCGGGAGAGGTAGGTTCAGTTTTTTTGGCAAACGAATAAAATCGGCTCGGCGACGGAGGATTGTTGTTAAAATGGTGGGAAAAAAAAATTTAAAATAAAATAATAATAATCCATCGTGGAAAATCCCAAAAGGATTTGAAGCAAGAGAAGAACCCCAGGGGAAAAAAAAGATCCCACACCTGGAAGGAGTGGAAAGAATTGGTAAAAAAATAGTAATATTGATAAGAAAAAAGCTTCTGCGTGGCGTCACGGGCACCGGACGCTAAGGAAGAGCCGCGTCGGTGTTGCTGTGAAAGCGTGCCGGGGTTTATCGGCTCCGCTCCTCGCCCAGGAGGAATATGGGTTTAACCGAAACGATTAAAATCCAAACGGAATTCCTCAATCCTCCGTCCCCGGTTTCAAGCCGCCGGCGGCCAGCTTCCC